GTCGGACGAACCCCATCGTTTCTTCATGAAGGACCACTGCCTGGGGAGCGAGGAGCCGTTGCCCTGACAGCGAGGCACCATCGCATTTGGCTGTGGATCATGGCCCTGGCAGGGCCCCTGAGAAACCGGCCACCGCAAACTTGGCCGTCGGCTGCGTTTTTTGCATTGGTGGTTTGCTCCTGTGTATTCTTAGCGCTTCGCGTACCCCCACCAGCCCATCCAGAAACGATCGCCAGGCGAGTTGCCCTGATCAGGGCTGTGTAGGAGCATGCAGTGGAACAGATGCACGAGTCAGCCGTTAAGCCGAAGCTCAGGATCCGCCTGACCATACCAATGAGTGAAATTAGTGAGCCTGCTGTCGAAGGAGGAGGATGGGAAGGATGAGACGAGGGGAAAGCGGAGAAGAACGAGAGGTGCCAGTGGAGGGGTGATGAGGAGGACGATGGAGGAGGATGAGAAGGAGGATGAGGATGAGAATGAGGATGAGGATGATGATGATGATGATGATGATGATGATGATGATGATGATGATGATGATGATGATGATGATGATGATGCTGATGATGATGATGATGATGATGATGATGTGATGATGATGATGATGAGATGATGATGATGATGATGAAGATGATGATGATGATGATGAGATGATGATGATGATGATGAGGAGGAGAGGAGGAGGAGAGGAGGAGGAGGAGGAGCAGGACGAGAAGGTGGCGCAGGAGGAGGAACAGCAGGACCAGGACAATGTTAGATCAGGAGCAGGACCAGGAAGAGCAAGAGGAGCAAGAGGAGCAGGATGAGCAGGAGGAGCAGGACGGGCAGGAGGAGCAGGAGCAGGAGAAGCAGGAGCAGGAGCAAAAGGACTAAAGGAATAGGAGGAGGAGGAGAAGGAGGAGGAGGAGGAGTGGCAGGAGGAGGAGAGAGTCAGGGGGCGGCGGCGACGACGGCATTAACGAGGACGAGGAGGAAGAGGAGGACGACGACGACCGGAGTCTCCTGAGCTAGGGAGGAAGGACGAGGACGAGGACGAGGACGAGGACGACGAGTACGAGGACGAGGACGACGAGGACGAGGACGAGGACGAGGAGGAAGAGGAGGACGAGCACGACAGGAGGACGACGACGACCGAGAGGAGGACGACGACGACAGGAGTCATTCAGAAAGGCCTTCGCGGGTCTTCCACTCTAAGCGCCTCTTGGAACCCTCTGGGGGCATGTTTGGTGTTGTCGGAGCCCTCTTGGAGCCCTTTTTGGGAGCTTTTCAGGCCCTCACGGGGCCATCTCGGAAGATGTCGATCCAAGAAGGTGGGGGTCCTCAATTGGTCTCGCTCTGTCAGGGCCTGGAGCTGTGCTTCTGGGGGCCCTCTTGGGCGCCAGCGGCGAGAGGGCACCACAAATGTATGCTTCTTAGGTTTGTATAAAAGTGGTGTGGGCCTGTCCTAAGTCTTCTCGGGAGGCTTCGTGGCCATTTGCAGCCGTGTTGGAGTGGGCTTTTGGGGCATCTTGGAGGAACGTTGGAAATCATATTTGGTTATCTTTAGGAAAACGGAGGAGGAAGAGGAGGAGGAGGAGGATGATGATGATGAGGAGGAGGAGGCCTCTTGGGGCGGGCCCTCCTCGGAGCTTTTCGGGGGCCTCTTGGACGTCTCGTGGGGGCTTTCTTGGGCCTCCTGGAGGCCGTGGGAGGCTCCTCTTGGCCAGTCGGAAGCCCTATTGGGGGCATCTCTGGGCCGAATTTGGGCCCTCTTGGCGCGCTTCAGGGTTGGAGGCCATCTTAGGCGTCTTGGGGCACCTTTGGGGCCGTCTTGGGGGCCTCTTGGGTCGACGGGGGGCCATCTTGGATGCCCCTTTCGCGCTCTTGGGGCCATCTTGTTGGCCACCGGGGCCGTCTCGGGCCGTCGGAAAACCGAAAATGAACAAACGCCCGAATCCTTCAAGCACGTATGGCACTCAATGCTTTCGGCCTCTTGATGCCGTCCTGGAGGTCCTCTCGTAGGCCTCTTGGGTCCTCTCGGAGGCCTCTTCTGCCGTCTTGAGGGTTCTTGACGCCATGTAGGCGGCATCTTGGGCCGTCTGGAGGACATCATGGGGCTCTCTTGGGGCCAGATTGGCCGTCTTGGAGGCCATGCTGGCCGTCTCGCAGGCCATCTTTGGGCCGCCTTGCGTGGCAAGATCGATTGGATACAGCATTTCGGCGGTTTTCTGGGTGGCGGCGGGTTGGGCCGACGGCCCACTGGGAACCTTGAAAGGGACACAGAACTAAATCAGATCTGGTACGCCGTGCACTCCTGTGGCAAGCCACAGGGGGCGGCGGATCCAGTGGCCTGGGGCGCATCCCGCCACCGTGCCTGGGCCGTGCAGCATGAGAGCTTAGCGGCCTCATGAGGGCCTGGTACCTCCTAGATACTTCGTTGGGTCTTTGGGGGGTCCTCTCGGGGGCCTTCTGGAGACCCCCAAGAGGGCCGTCTTGGGGACATGTTGGGCACTCTTGGTGGCACTGTCACATTCATTAGAAGACAATGTTTGTTCCAACGATTTGGGCCTCTTGGGCTGCCCCCTTGGCTTTCAAGATGGCCCAGTAAACCTTCAAGAGGGCTTCAGGACGACCCTCTGGGGGCGTGCAAGGGAATGCTGGAACTTGGGATCCCCATCCACGCTTCCGAGGCCTCTGCATAACCCACACGACGCACCCAACGAGCGCCCAAAGATACCCGTCAGTTGGGGGTCTCGGGCATTTGCAGGGCACTTGCAATATCAAAATCTTCCGTAGTGAGAGCTTGAAGGGGCCTACGGCTTAGTCAGCTCTGGAAATGACAGAGCCGTTCTTTGCCGTTTCCGAAAATCTAGCTGTCGATTGTTGACCACAAAAACGCGCCATCGAACCCGACGAACCATTGCGCCAGACTCGGAACCGGTATTGGAACCGGACAGAACAAGGCGCTGTAGTCGGGACCGGGACCAGAAACTGACAGCACGCGGCGTGGGAATTGGATACAAAGTGCAACGGAATGGGGAAACGCACGAAACACGCCACCAGAGAGAACATGGTGCCCTGCCGATCCCAGGGCACATTAGAGGCCCACGGGCGCTCCACTTAGTGGCTGCGGCTCGGTAGCGGGTTCTCCTTTTGTCGCGCGTCTCCAGGCGCCCAGATTTAGTCGGCCATGTCTCTCTACATGGGGAATGTTCAAAAATATTTAAAACCTGGGGACGATGTTTCGATTCTTGTTCCGTAGTTTCGAGTAGTTGTCTCGTTCCTCCAAACTCCGCCTGTAGGGGGGCATGCCCGACCTAAGCCCAGAGGCCGGGGTGGTGATGGCAACCGTTTGCGTGCGCGGTCAGCGTGCACGGACGCTTGCAACCCCATGTGCTACGGCAAGTGCGTGGGCGGTCTGGCTTGTGTTTGCTCGAGAGCCTACGCAATAGAGGTCCACAGCAGCGTGCACACGTCACAGCCAGGTTGCTCCTAACCTGCATCAGTCTATCCAATTCGAATTGCGTGAGTTCGGACGGAGTCGTGGCCTGCGCTGCTCGGTGCCCCCCGCAAGGGGGGCCAGCGGACACCCCTATCAGAACACTTACTTCTTGATTGCCGCCGGCCACCTAAAGGTCGAGCAGGGCATCGTCTGCAGAACTGACTTATTCACCCCACTTTTTTCCGTCGAGTCCATGATAGAGTATTCGGTCTTTTCTCTAGATTCGGCGAGAAAGAATATGAGGGCAAACCAATTCTGCAGTCGATCCCCTACTCGAACAGGGCACCTTGCATCTCAACATAATGTTCGGCACGATGGAGGCGACGAAGCCCGCCCCCTCCCGGGGCCCCGGCACGCCCCAGCCCTCGCTGGTGACGACGGTGCTCGGGGGCCAACGCTGGGGGGGGATGGTGGCATAGGCACCGAGGGGGATCGGACGGGGCCAGGACGAGGGTACATCTCGTTGGGGAGTGGAGTTGGAGTTCATTTGTTTGTGCGTGAGGGGAACAGAAATTGTGCCATGGCCTCTCCATACCGAGCGGGGCCAGGACGAGGGTGAATCTGTTCCAGAGCGTTCCGGAACGCCCTCGGAGCGTTTCTGGAACGCTCCGAGGAGGCCGCGGCGCCGGAGTCATCTTCCAGAGCTGCCCGACCTCAGAGATGCTCTGTCTATGCTTACCCGGTTTGATCCTCGCCCTGGCTTCGCCTCCACTCGCCCACGCGTCGCCAATGGGGGCTCGATGGCCCACCCCTCCCGGGAGCGTGGGGAGTCGCCATCTGGGGCACACCGCCGACCCATCGACGATGCGTCAGCGATTCGGGCTCGACGTTTCCCCGCCCCTGAGCCGGTCCCCCCCCCCTCGCCAGCTCCCCCCGCCTTGGAGGGTTTCTCCGAAGGGCTTAGGCGACCCCTCCTCCTCCTCCTCCTCCTCCTCCTCCTCCTCCTCCTCCTTCTCCTTCCTCCTCCTTCCTCCTCCTCCTCCCTTCCCTCCTCCTCCCTCCTCCTCCTCCCTCCATCTCCTCCTCATTCTCCTCCCACCTCCTCCTCCATCTCCTCCTCATTCCTCCCTCCCTCCTCTCCATCTCCTCCTCATTCCCTCCTCCTCCTCCTCTTCCTCCTCCTCTCCTCCTCCTCTTCCTCATCCGTCTTCTCCTCCTCCCCCCTCCTCCTCCTCCTCCTCCTCCTCCTCCTCCTCCTCCTCCTCCTCCTCGGGTCGCTTACGGCCCCAGGGGAAGCCGTGTACCCCCCCCTCCCCAGACATGCGACGTTCTGATTTGTTCCATACGCGGCCCCCGGAAGTCCCGACCACTTCTCCGGGACTGTTTTTGTTCCTCCCGAGTCGTTTTGTTGCAGGTGTTGGAGGTCCTCCCGAGTCGTTTTTTGGAGGATCCCGAGTCGTTTGTTTTGAGGTTTGTTTTAAATGTTGTTGGGCTCCTGGGGCCCTGCGAGGGCCCAAGGAGGCCCAACATGTTCCGTGCTGCTGTTTTTTTTCTCGGCGCGAGCATGCTTCTGGGCCCTGAGGTGCTGGCCATCGCGCTCGGGGTCATGGTGGCGGACCGCGTGATCATGGAGTGTTTCCCCGACCAGCCTCAGCAGGCGTCGACATAGACCCGATTCTGGCAGAAGGGAGCGAAATCGAATGAAGTCGATACTTGCAAAGCGGAGCGAGGTCGATACATGCGTGCAAAGCGAGCGAAGTCGATCCTGGCACAGCGAGCGAGGTCGATGCTGGCGGCAACGCGAGCGACGTCGATGCCGGCGAGGCGAGCGGAGGCGACACTGGCAAGGCCAGATGTGTGATGCCCACTGTGTTTCACTACGGAGTCTGCAGAGGTCCCCACTCACAGAGCGCGTTCCACGACTCGCAAAGTGCCTACTCGCAAACGCCCGAAACAAAATGCCTTCCTTTATGGAAGGTATGGTCAATCCCCCGCGGCGGATCCAGGCCATTTGCGAGTAGTTACTCTGCGAGTAGTGGAACGCGCTTGTCCACCCACCCTGTCCCTGGGACCAGTTTTTCACCCCGAGTCGTTTTACGACGGTCCGGGAGCCCGGCGAGGCCCCCCAGAGGCGGAGAGTTGGGAGACATTTCCGCCCTGAGATTTCTTCTCACGACCCGCGCACGTCTAGGAAGCGAGCAACCCTGCATGCGACTGCGTCGCAGGAAAACCACGAGCGGCTCCAGCAGTCGAATAGACCCCCTGTGTCGCAGGAAAACCACGATCGGCCTAAGCAATCCAATAGACTACAGAATTGATTCGCTTCAAACTTGGTCTATTCCCGCCGAATGCAAGCAACGCGTAGAATATTCGTAGATCTACGGGCCTTGATATTAGACTTCATCTGTAAATCCAGCAGGCAAAACAATTTTGGGGTACATCGATTATGTACAGTCGTACCGAGGTATAAGATCGAGGCCGGTTCGGGGAGGGTGTCCTAATGCTATTCGTGTTTGTCGGATGCTCTTGTGCATCCCGGGGAGGGTACCCTAATTTTCTGTGACGGAGGGTCGCATGTTCTTGAAGGATGTTCTTCTGGCCTGGGTACGGCTGTACAGTCGAGCGTCTGATTAAGAATCCTCCTCCCGAAAAGTTGGACCAGCGTTCCTCCACCAACCCACCCGAAAGCCGGCCCAGATTCTCGAGCGCGCATTCGCCCCTCCAGCGCTAACACGAGCTCTTGGCCCAGGTTTGTCTTGAGAAATGTCTGGGAAGCTGCCCCCCCAGACCCCCCACGTCGCTATTTTTTCACAACGTCCACCCCTAGAGGTCTGGACCCATTCCCCGGGACCAGTCTCTCGTCCTGAGTTGTTTTTTTGTGGTCCCGATGCCCCGGCGGCAGGCCGGAAATAGCGAAAAGCCTCCCGTCGTGATTTTGTCATGCCCCGAGGGGGTTTGGGTTGAAGAAAATTATGGGAAGCTGGCTCAGACGTCTTAAATGATGACCGTCTTGAGCATCTTTCCGGCTGTGCTCGAATCTAGGCCTCCTCGATGGGGTCCGAGTGGATGAAGTCGGAGGATCTCGCCGCATCGCCGATGCATCGGCGATGCGGCTCGATGCGGAGCCCGATTTTCGCCATGCAGTCGGCGCCGATGCATCGCCGATGCATCGGCGTTGCATTGGCGATGCGGTGCAATCCGCCGAGCCCGTTTTGATGGGCCTGTCTTCCGCCACCACCACCATCAGTTGGAGGGGGAGGGGTCCTCCACCTCCTCCTCCTCCTCCGCCTCCTCTTCGTCCTCCTCCTCCTCCTCGTCCTCCTCCTCCTCCTTGCCCCCTCCAACTTCCCAGAGATCCGATGTCGCGATTTTTTCAATACGCGGCCCCTGGAAGTCTCGACCCGTTCCCCATCCGGTTTTTCATCCTGGGTCGTTTTTTGACGGTCCCGAGGCCCGGCGAGGGCCCCTATAGGGGCCGAAACTAGCGAAAAGCCTCCGTCTCGATTCTTTCAATGCGTCGGATCTCTGGGTTATGGTGGTGGTGGTGGAAAGCAGGCCCACCACCCTGACCTTCCAGGAGGGCTAAAAAATAGCACCCGACCTAAAAACCTATCCCAGAGCTATTCTACGTCTTGGTTTTAGGCTGTTTCGTTTAGTTTTTAGGTTTTTAGGTCTCCAGTGCTAAAAAATAGCTCTCTGGAAGGTCAGGGCACGTCTGCTCGGAACCCATCTGGGAGGCCGCCACCGAAGCAGGCGGGCCCCGCGGGCCCGGGCGGCGAGGCCGCCGGGGCGGCCGGCGCGCCGCGCGGCGAGGACGCGGCCGGGGAGCCCTGGTCCCAGCAGGCGGCGGTGTACGCGGTGTGCCTCGCCTTCGGGTGCCCCGGAGGGCGGCGTGCACCCAGCCACCCAGACCCCCTCGAGTTATGAAAAAATCACGACGGGATGTTTTTCCTAATTTTTGGCCTTCAGGGGCCCTCACCGGCCCTCGGGAGCGTCAAGATACGACTCAGGATGCAAAGCCGGTCCCGGGGAACGGGTCGAGACCCTTGGGGGTCGACGTCATGAAAAAATCATGACGTCGGGGGTCTGGGGCCAGAGGTCCAACGCACAGAGAGAAAGTCAAGGCAGAGGTTTTTCTTGCAGATCTCGGCCCTCGCCGGGCCTCGGGGCCGTCAAGGAACGACCCAGGACGAGACACCTGTCCTGGGAAACGGGTCGGGATTTCCGGGGACCGCATATCAAAAGAATCACGACATCGGATCTCTGGGCAGGGATCGTTCCCAGACCCTATCGCGGTGTGAAAAACTCACGGCGGGAAGTTGTTCGTTATTTTCGGCCTCCGGGGGCCCTATACCCGGCTGGGAGCCAGGGGTCGGTGTGTAGGTGTGCAGCCCAGGCATGCGATGCCCTGATGTTGGTATTGCGCGGTGCCCGAAGCCACGACCCTCTCCACGGGACCGGCCTCTCATTCAGCGTCGCGTTTTGAACCCAGGCCCCTTCGAGTAATGAACAAGTCATGACGGGAGGTTTTTCTGAATTTTCGGCCTCTGGGGGCCCTCACCGGGCCTCGGGAGCGTCACAAAACTATTCAGGATGCACAGCTGGTCATGGGGAAAGGGTCGGGACCTTTGGGGGTCGACGTAATGAACAAAACGTCGGGGGTCTGGGAGGGCAGCGTGTACCCGGGGATCGTTCCCCCAGACCCCCTCGCGCTGCGAAGAAATCACGGCGACGGCGGGGAGTTGTTGTTCGTTCTTTTCGGCCTCTGGGGGCCCTATACCAGGCCTCGGGACCGTCAAAAAGGACTCAGGCTGAAAAACCACTCCCGGGGAAAGGGTCCAGATCTACCTCTGGGGGTCGACGTTGCGAAGAGAATCACGACGGCGTCGGGGGTCTGAGTGTTCTTCTTCATCGTTTTGCCGATCGGCGCGGGCCCTCGCATCCCCCCCTCCCCATGCCCATGGAGCAGATCTTGCCTGTGTGGGGCGCCTGTTTCGGGCAGGTGGAGTCTCCCCCATATGTGTGCATCTATTTGCATGGACCTGTCCGCCGTGCATGTCTAGGCGCAAGAGCTTTCGAATGTAAACGGGCTTCAGTTGTGACGGTCTGGTCATGTTTCTAACTGACAATGAATTGGAGTGTGAATAAGCCTCAGTAGTACGAGCGCGTCTCTGCGCATGAGCCTGGGTCCTCCTGGGGCCTCCTGGGGCCGCCTGAAACCTACTGGGGCTTCCTGGGGCCTCCAGGAGCCTCTTGGGGCCTCCTGGGGCCTCCTGGGACCTCCTAGGGAGGATTCGTGCCCCAGGAGAGGCCCAATCTATAGCAACAGACGTACATAAAACATTGAGGATTGGAGCCACAGGAGAAGGGGGCAATCTATAGAAACACACGTAAAACACAAAGGATTCGTGCCCCAGCAGAGGCCCTATAGGAACATAAGTACACAGGAGAAGGACAATCTATAGAAACATACGTATAACATCAAAGAATCGTGCTCCAGGTGAGGCCCAATCGATAGGAGCATACGTAAAACACATGGGATTGGAGCCACTCCTGTTGCCTTCTGAGGCCTCCTGCTCCTGGGGCCTCTCGGGGCCTCCTGTTGCCTTCCGAGGCCTCCTGGCGCTTCCTGTTGCCTCCTGGGGCCTCCTGTGGTTTCCTGAGGCCTTCTGGAGCTTCCTGGGGCCTCCTGGAGCCTCTTGGGACATCCTGTGGCCTCTTGAGTCTTTCTGTGGCCTCCTGATGCCTCCTGGGACCTCATGTGGTCTCCTGGGGCTTCCTGGAGCCTGTTGGAGCTTCCTGTGGCATCCTGAGGAGAATCTGTGCCCACGACTGACCGATCGAGACATCACCGGGGGGTGAAAATGAGCGCCTCGCTCGAGACATCCTCCAAAATCAGGCCCAGACCTGGCCTGAAAATGTGAGAGCGCCTCGCTCGAGACATCCTCCAAATCTGCTCCGAAAGCGAAGGATGTTGGGACAGAAACAGGCAAACCGCTTGAGACATCCCCACAAAACGGCCGCGAACGGGACCGTGAGATAACCCCTGGCGGCTCCCCTTAGGGGGTGAAATGAGCGCCTCGCTCGAGACATCCTCCAAATCTGCTCCGAAAGCGAAGGATGTTGGGACAGAAACCAGGCAACCCGCTTGAGACATCCCCACAAAACGGCCGCGAACGGGACCGTGAGATAACCCTTGGCGGCTCCCCTTAGGAGGGTGAAAATGAGCGCCTCGCTCGAGACATCCTGCAAATCTGCTCCGAAAGATGTTGGGACAGAAAACAGGCAACCCGCTTGAGACATCCCCACAAAACGGCCGCGAACGGGACCGTGAGATAACCACTGGCGGCTCCCCTTAGGGGAATGAAAATGAGCGTCTCGCCCGAGACATCCTCCAAATCTGCTCCGAAAGCGAAGGATGTTGGCACAGAAAACAGGCAACCCGCTTGAGACATCCCCACAAAACGGCCGCGAACGGGACCGTGAGATAACCCTTGGCGGCTCCCCGCCTCGAGACATCCTCCAAATCTGCTCCGAAAACGAAGGATGTTGGCACAGAAAACAGGCAACCCCCTTGAGACATCCCACAAAACGGCCGCGAACGGGACCGTCGGAGAAAATGAGCGCCTCGCCGAGACATCCTCCAAATCTGCTCCGAAAGCGAAGGATGTTGGGACAGAAAACAGGCAACCCGCTTGAGACATCCCCACAAAACGGCCGCGAACGGGACCGTGAGATACCCCTGGCGGCTCCCCTTAGGGGAGTGAAAATGAGCGCCTCGCTCGAGACATCCTCCAAATCTGCTCCGAAAGCGAAGGATGTTGGGACAGAAAACAGGCAACCCGCTTGAGACATCCCCACAAAACGGCCGCGAACGGGACCGTGAGATAACCACTGGCGGCTCCCCTTAGGGGTGTGAAAATGAGCGCCTCGCTCGAGACATCCTCCAAATCTGCTCCGAAAGCGAAGGATGTTGGGACAGAAAACAGGCAAACCCGCTTGAGACATCCCCACAAAACGGCCGCGAACGGGACCGTGAGATAACCACTGGCGGCTCCCCTTAGGGGAATGAAAATGAGCGTCTCGCCCGAGACATCCTCCAAATCTGCTCCGAAAGCGAAGGATGTTGGGACAGAAAACAAGCAACCCGCTTGAGACATCCCCACAAAACGGCCGCGACCGGGACCGTGAGATAACCCTTGGCGGCTCCCCTTAGGAGGGTGAACATGAGCGCCTCGCTCGAGACATCCTGCAAATCTGCTCCGAAAGCGAAGGATGTTGGGACAGAAAACAGGCAACCCGCTTGAGACATCCCCACAAAACGGCCGCGAACGGGACCGTGAGAAAACCACTGGCGGCTCCCCTTAGGGGAATGAAAATGAGCAAATCTGCTCCGAAAGCGAAGGATGCTGGGACAGAAAACAGGCAAACCGCTTGAGACATCCCCACAAAACGGCCGCGAACGGGACCGTGAGATGGCGGCTCCCCTTAGGGGGAGCTGAAACCAGCGCCTCGCCTGAGACATCCTCACAATCTGCTCTGGTAGCCAAGGATGTTGGGAGAGAAAACAAGCACACCGCTTGAGGCATCCCCACAAAACGGCCGCGAACGGGGCGTGCGTGAGTCTCACCATGAGTAAGTCTGAGTAGGAGTAGGTCTGAGTATGAGTAGGTCTGAGTAAGAGTAATTTGGTGTGTGAGTAAGTCTGGGTATGAGTAAGCCTGAGTGTGAGTCAGTCTGTGTATGAGTAAGTCTGGGTATGAGGAGGAGAGGGGGGGAGAAGGAGAAGGAGGAGGAGGAGGAGGAGTAGGAGGCGTCCAAGTAATTATTCACTGCGTGGAGCTCCCCATATGTGCATCTATTCGCATGGACCTGTCCGCCGTGAATGTCTAGGCGCAAGCGCTTTCGAAAATACACGGGCTTCAGTTGCGACGGTTTGGACATACATCTAACTGCGAATGAATTGGAGTGTGAATGAGCCTCAGTAGTACGAGCGCGTCTTTGTGCATGAGCCTGGGGCCTCCTGGGGCCTTCTGAAACCTACTGGGGCTTCCTGGGGTCTCCAGGAGCCTCTTGGGGCCTCCTGGGACCTCCTAGGGAGGTTTCGTGCCCCAGGAGAGGCGCAACATATAGCAACAGACGTACATACAACATTGCGGATTAGAGCCACAGGAGAAGGGCAATCTATCGGAACACGCGTAAAACACCAAGGATTCGTGCCCCAGGAGAGGCCCAACATATAGGAACATAAGTAAACCATGTAGGATTGTGTACACAAGAGAAGGACAATCTATAGAAACATACGTATAACATCAAAGAATCGTGCTCCAGGTGAGGCCCAATCGATAGGAGCATACGTAAAACACATGGGATTGAAGCCACTCCTGTTGCCTTCTGAGACCTCCTGCTCCTGGGGCCTCTCGGGGCCTCCTGTTGCCTTCCGAGGCCTCCTGGCGCTTCCTGTTGCCTCCTGGAGCCTCCTGTGGTTTCCTGAGGCCTTCTGGAGCTTCCTGGGGCCTCCTGGAGCCTCTTGGGACATCCTGTGGCCTCTTGAGTCTTTCTGTGGCCTCCTGATGCCTCCTGGGACCTCATGTGGTCTCCTGGGGCCTCCTGGAGCCTGTTGGAGCCTCCTGTGGCATCCTGAGAAGAATCTGCGCCCACGAGCCTGGCCACCAAAACAAGCAAACCGATCGAGACATCCTCAAAATCTGGCCCACCTGGGGGGTGAAAATGAGCGCCTCGCTCGAGACATCCTCCAAATCTGCTCCGAAAGCGAAGGATGTTGGCACAGAAAACAGGCAAACCGCTCGAGACATCCCCACAAAATCCCGCGAAAGGGGCCGAGTGCAATACCCCCCCGCCGCTCCCCTTAGGA